GCTGTTTCTTGAAATTCTTTCTGTCAGCCAATTCTTTTTTTTGTACAGTGACTCATTACACTTCTTCCATCTTCTTTTGATGCTTCCTGGATCATTCAACATCCTGCCCATAATATCTTTACGTATTGCAACTCAAGGCTTAAATTTGTTCTTTAGTTCCTTCAGCTTAAGAAATCCCAAGTGAATTTTCTTTTTTTATTTTCTGACTCCAGCTCTGTGCATATTTTGTTATAAGAACTTGCTTGGTCTTCCTGGGCTTCCATACCATATCTTTGTTCAACTCCTTTACTTCCTGATTTCTTTTCTTTGTTTTAGCATCTTGGCATTCTAGTGAAATATTCAGAGTCTCTTCTGACATCTGCCTTGGTCTTTTCTTCTTCCTCTGTCTTTTAATGACCTTTTACGTTCTTCATGGATGATATTCTTGATATCCCCCCACAGCTCATCTAGTCTTCGTTCTTTAGTGTTCAAGGCCTTAAACCTATTCTTTAGATGGTTTTTTTTAACTTTTATGGGACAGGTTCAAGTTATTATTTTGGTTCTTGTGGAGTTATTTTAACTTTTTTTAGCTTCAGTTTGAATTTGTTCATGAAGAACTGATGGTCTATTCCAGTCAGAACCTGGCCTAGTTTTCACACTTGGTATTTCATGTAGTACACAAGTAAACTAGTACTTACCTTACTTACTGGGTAAACTGCACACATCCTCTGACTAGAAGGCTCCTCCCCTCAGAACAGTGGTTCTTCAGTCTCATTTCCAATGTAATACTTTCAAATAGCAACTCCATGGGCCATCCATATGTGGGTACATGTATATAGACAAGCACACACATACAATCCACACCTGCAAATCAAACTGCCTCTCTAACTTCAAAAATCCTCTCATCACTTTTGTTACTTGTTTACTTTTTATTTTTTACATCTTATTCCCACTGACACATAGGCTTGATGTTTGTCTTTTTCAAGAAGATAGAACCCCTGTGTTTCTGGTAGATAACAGACAAGGAGCCGTACTCATGTAATAGTGAAACACTCAGCTGCTAACCCAAAGGGCAGTATTTCTTACCCACCAACAGTTATGTAGAAGGAAATACTTGGCAATCTGTCCCTGTAAAGATTACAGTCTTGGAAACCCAGTGTAGCACTTCTACTCTGTCATATAGGAACACTGTGAGTTAGAATTGACTTGACACACAACAACAACAACAGATATATCAAAACACACTTACTGAATAAAGAAAAATACCAAAATAAACTTTGTGGTTGTTTTGTGCTGTTAAACCTGAACTGGCTCATAGCTTACGTTCCAGTGGGTTTTCAGAGGCTGTAAATGTTATGGGATAAGGTTGCCTATCTTTCTCCCATAAAGCAATTAGTGGATTTGAACCCTTGCCTTCGGGTTGGAAGCTCAGTTTCTAACCACTAGGCCACCAGAACTCTGTGAGACCAATTCTACTATCGAGTAATTTTTAGGTACTCTAATAGCTGCTTTCATTTTATTTCTCTTCCATTTTCTTTGTTATATTAGAGACATTATAAAAGGAAACATGCACTAAAATTCTCATTTCCTTTACTCCTGCACTAAGAACCTTGGTGTTCTATAGGATGATCCAGTCTGAGTGGCACCATTTTTAGTCTGAGGCAGCAAAGGAGTAAAAAGCCAGAAAATTAAGAGCTCTGTTCTTTCTAGTGCTGCCTTGATGGGATGTTAATTTCAAGGATTTGTTTCCTCAGACACAGTACTTTTAGATGAGTGGATGCATCCATAATCAAAAGAAAACTTCTCTGCAAAGAAATGCAAACAATTCTTAGAGGATATCCTGCTTGAGATTAGAGGCTTTGTGCTCTATTACCACACATTTTTCAAAGTTGGATGTACTTACAGACTGGTTCAAAACTAAAGTACCAGCTCACTTTCCCCTAACTACACACCCTACATTACCCAGATGGAAAATCCACTTGCACAATATTCCCAAGATCTGATCCAGATGGTTGGTCCTGGATCCTGATGCTGGTACATGTGACAGGAAGCTAGGACTTGTGAGTTTCTTTCTCAGTGGGTACTTCCTTAATGTGTGAATTTACATGTGTATCAGATAGAATTATTTTTCAAATTAAAGATATACAAAAAGAAATCTCTGGTCACCAAATTTTAGAGTGATTTGTTAATAAACTTCGAAAGGGACATGGGTGGTGGAGGGCATATAACTTGAGGGCATTTCAAATAAATAAATATAGGAACTAGTTCCAATGGTCTTCATTTTCATTTTCACTGCACTGGTATCACTGTTTCATAGAAGATCATTGGTATTTTGAAGATGAACAATAAACAAATAGACATTTATTCTCTAGAGATTTAATCTGTACTTTTTCTATCTACCAATTGTAGATAAGAATTGGAAACTAGCATATGGGGAATGGTTTAAGAATTGAAAATCTCTTTGCTCTTGAGTCAAAACCAACTCACAACTGAGCCTCCAGCATATTCCCACGGTTATGAAGAACATGGGAGGACACTGTTCATGTTTCTATTGTGGAGCCACTAGTTGATTTGAACCACCAGAGACGCTCAGCTTTTGGGTTAACAGCACAACTTCCTATGGACTATACCACCAGAAGAGCTTCTATTAGGTGAAAGGGCCTTTCTTCGTATTTTGGAAGTCACTGGAAAACACTGCAATCCTGTTAGCATCCAGAAGGCATCATTAACTATATGCTGTGTTCTTTCTACATTGCAAAAGAATACAGATTGCACTTGTAGTGTAGTAAAAATAAGATTAAATCAAGGAAATCCTTACAGCTGGTACCTATAACAACTTCATTGAAAATGTTATAAAGCTTAAAAGCATCAAGAGTTTAGGGTAGTCACTCATGTACATCTCATATACATCCAGACTATCACTCACACACTGATAGTAAAACCCTATGCAGCAATATCTTTCAATGTGCTAGAGTTTTATCTTTTAATTATGTTTAACATCCAAGGCAGAGAACTAAAAATAATAAGATATACTTTCATTACAGTTAATATCAAAAGTATATTTGTGCCTAAACTGTGTATTATGCCACATGGTAGGCCACCACCTAAGAATTTGCCTAAGGGATACACTTATTCTTTGAACACTAAGCATTTGGTAAGCATTTTAGAGTTTCTTCTATTGCACTGAGAAAATCTGCTACCTGGGGAAACTTTCCAAAGTATTGAAAAGCGCAATGATGTCAGCTTATAGACTAGATGTGCCTGATTCAAGCTAAGATCTTTTCACTCACCTTTCAACCTGAGAGTTGGAAAATGAATAAGGATGACAGAGGTGGGATAAGTGCCTGTAAGTTGTAGTGTTGGAGAAGAGTGCTGAGTGTCTCATGGACTGCCAAAAGAACAAACATATACATCTTGGAGAAAATGCAGCTAAAGTGTTCCTAAGTGGCAAAGATAGTGAAGCTTCGTCCCATATATTTTAAGCATGTGGTTAAGAGAAGCTATTCCTTGGAAAAGGACACAACAATAGCAATGATGACATATGGATATGTATATGCTGTAGTTGAGTATCACTGAGTAAACTATAACTCATAGTGACTCTATGTCTGAACCTTGCCCTATCCTGTGCCATCCTTATCTTCTCTAACACACTTGAGCCTATTGCTGCAATCACTGTGTCAGTTTATTTTGAAAAGGATTTTCCTCTTACACTGGCCCTCCACTTTTCCAAGGATGATGCCCTTTTCCCAGCACTACCCTTCCTAACAACATGCTCCAAGTATGTGAGATCAAGTGTCACTATCCTTGTCTGCAAGGAACCTCCTAGTTGCACCTTTTCAAGACATCTTTGTTTATTCTTTTGGCATTCCATGGGATATTTAGCACTTTTCTACAATACCACAACTCAAAGGCATCAGTAATCCTTCTGTCATCTTTATTCACTGTCAACTTTTTTTTATTCTATTATTTTAAGTGTACCATCAATTCAGATCTGACTAGTACAGGAGGAGATTGTCCCCTCCTTCTCCAGCAGAGTATCTGGTGGATTTGAACTGCGTACCTCTGGGATTGCAGTTCATTGTCAACTTTTAGCTATGTATGTAGCAAGTAATTGAAAAGATTATGGTTTGGATCAGGTGCACCTTAGTCTTCAAACTGACAACATTGCCTTTTAGCACTTGGCAATCCAAAGGTACACAGTTCTAATCCACCAACTGCTTTGCTGGAGAAGGATAGGCAATCTCCTTCTGTGTGATTAATGACTTCTGAAAACGTGCTGGAGGGGCAGCTATGAGTTGGTTCTGACCCACGGTACACAACAAAACCAAATTTTATTATATCTATATATACATATATATATGTATGTGTGTATATATGTGTGTGTATATATATATATATACACACACACATACATATATATATATGTATATATACATATATATATAATTCTCTAGTACAAAAATTATTTTTCTGATTTTAATCAACAACCATAACCAACATATCCTGATCATGTTCCATATATTCATCACCAACCTTAAAAAACCCTGTACTATAGTCTCCATATTTTGTTACCATGTTCCAAAGATAAGCCTTCAGTATGAAAACAAACAAACAGAAAACAAAACAAAAAAAACTTTAAGAGAAATATAAAAAAGTGTCAAGCAAAACATTTATGGTAATTAGGAGAGTAACATGTTGAACTATATTCTAAGTGAAATAAGCACAGTTTGTAGCAGTAGTTCAGGTAGAGGAAAGATAGAAACTAAGACAAAGACACCTGGAAATAACAAGGCTAAGAGCTTCTACAGATAAGTCTTCACACCAATGACTTGGGACACAACATTGATGTCCTGACATATTTTAATCTCCCAGCATCTCTGTATTAGACAGCATATTTGCACAGACTCCAACTTCAAAGCTCTTTTAATTTCTCTCCAGTATATGTTGTCCCTACTGGACAAAATATACGAAGCCAGTTTCTTCACAAGAACGCTACCTTTTCTTAAACAGATACAACTGACCTGTGTTGAAGAATGATCCAGTCCACTCTCCCTCTGTTTTGGGAAATACAGAAACTGGTGGAGGCAGATCCAGGGCTATTCCATCCAGATCCTTGAAGAGATATTTTCTCGGACTTTCACAGTCTGATTCAGGGCAGACCACTCTTGCTAAATCTGTCCTGTAAAGAAAGAAAGCAATGCACATTTCTAGAATATGACCCATGCCTTTACAACCTCTTGATCTCCCAAAGGAAAGAAATGTAACTGGCTTTCAGTGTTAATAACATGTAACATAAAGATGAGAGAAAGCTTTCTGTAAGTTATTACCCAGTTAGTTGGTTATAAAAGAGACTTTCTTACTAAAAAATATTCAAGATATCTGGATATATATGTTTTTTATATAGATTGCTAATTATCTACCAATTAAGTTAAAATAAAATGCTCCTGATAATAAGTATCCAGCAAAGGACTTATACACAACAGAGACTGTGAGATTGGCAGAGGATCAGGTGGTGTGTATAGGATCATTATGGGTCAGCTGACACCACACCACCTAGCGTAACTTTAATATATTATTGAACAGAATAGAATTATTTATAGTACTTCTGGAAGCAGGAGTGGCATCCACTTTCTGAACAACATGCCTCCAGAAACTCTATGAACTTTGATAAATGTCAATAGTTGTAGAGGGGCTTCAAGCCTTTTGTTCATAGGGTCACTATGAGTCATGCTCGACTTGAAGGCAATCAACAACAAGGTAGTACTTCTGAAGTAAGAATATCAATTATATAGTTACTGTATGCATAGTAAAGGTAGATACTCTATTTCAGCAAATGACTATTGAAATTTACTACTGATAGCTTTGGGGGATATAATGGAAATAAAGGTAAACTTGGTCCTATATTTTTGGAATTAAGAGTCAAACAGAATATATAGGAGCTATAATTCAAACACTGATATGTAGATAATTGATGTTACTCCCCAGAACTAATTTTGTTAGAAACTGCTAGTAAATATTCACTGCTAAGTATACGTAAGGAAGCACTAGTAGCCTAGGATTAGGAGTTGAACTGCCAAACCAAGGTTTGATTCCACCAGCTGCTCTGGGGGAGAAAGATGGGCATTCTTCTTCTGTGCAATTTACAGCCTCTGAAAACTTCTGAAGGATCAGCTACAAACCACTTCCAATTCGACAACACACAATACCACTAAGTCCTTGTCAACTGTCAATTAGTAAAAAGATATCAGATGATATTATAGCGTAACTATTTCACTATAAAAATAAGATATGAATACTGAAACTGAAAAAGTACACTGCAGAAGGAAAGTGACAGAATAAGGCAAACGTCCTACCTCGCTGCCTATAGGCACAGGTATGAACACTAAGAAGATACTGGTATTAACTCAAACACACATGCTTTCTTATTAAGGTTATTTACTTTTTATTTCCTAATTAAAGGTGTTTTCCATAATGGTGAGAAAAAGGAAAAAGTAATTGAATCCTTACTCTCTTAACTTCTCCCTTTGATTATGGCCCTTCCAGGACCAAAAGACTAACTAGCAGGGTCTCTCCTTTGTGTGGTGAAGCAGAACTACAAGAGGACATATGGAAGTTAGCAGAGCCTCTTGGGGAACTTCCACCTCCTAATTTTCATTCTTCTTATGAGCTAATCACCACAGCTCAAAGGCATCAATTTTCCTTCTATCATCCCTAGTCATTGTTCAGCTTTCTGATGCGTAGCACATAATTATGAAGACCATAGCTGGATTAGGTGCACCTTAGTCTCCAGACTTACATTGTTGCTCTTCAGTACTCTGGAGAGGTCCCTGACAGCAGACTTTACCAATTCAATCCATCTTTTTATTTCTGGACCACTGGTACCAAGAGTATTTGTTGATTGTGGACACAAGCAAACTAAAGCTGTTAACAATATCAATCTCTTCACCTTCTATCATGATGCAGCCAATCGGACCAGTGGTGAGTCCTGTAGGATTCTGTAAATTTTTGTTTTGAGACTCTTGTCTGAGATGGTACTGTCAAATGTTCTCCCCCTCCCCCAGTCAGTACGGTTTCATTTCACCCTATTGGAACAGGACTGCAAGCAATAAATGTTGGAGAGGATGTGGAGAGACAGGAACTCTCATGCACTGTTGGTGGGGTTGTAAATGGTACAACCACCCTGGAAGGCAGTTTGATGTTTCCTCAAAAGCTGAACATAGAAAATCCATTGACCCAGTTATTCCACTGCTAAGAATATACTTCAAGGAAATTAGAACTAAGCCACAGATGGACATCTGTACACCAATGTTCATAGCAATGTTATTCTTCATCACAAGAACTCGGAAACAGCCCAAGTGTTCCACTACAACAAAACAGATTGAGAAATTATGGTACATTCACATAATGGAATACTATGTAGCACTCAGGAGCAATGCTTTCAAAAAATACTACATAACTTGGGAGAGACTGGAGATCATTATGCTGATTGAACTAACTAAGTCTCATAAGGACAAATACTGCATAAGACTATTATTGTAAAAATATAAAGATAATTAGTAAAATGTGTATAGAGATTCCAGGGGGGAAGGAGCAGAAATGAAGGGGTGTTGATGGGCAGAGGAGAAATATATTTGCTGAACTGTGCAATAAGATCACAGAATTTGGTGGGGTGAGGGAGTGGGGGTAAAGGAAATGGGAAAGGTCCAGCCCAAATATCTGAAAAGACAGGGTAATAGTGGGCATAGTTTAATGCTGATTATACATGCCAATGAATGAAACTATGAAATACAATGTATAAAAATTTGGGGGGAGGGAAGAAAATAATGTATTAGACTTGGAAACTCGATGTAATTGGAACTGAGATCTGTTGTTGTTATGTGTTGTCTCATCAGAGCTGATTCAGCTCATTCTGCAGTAGATTTTCAGATGCTGTATATTGTACAATAGGAGATTTCCCATCTTTCTCCCTTGAAGTCACTGGTAGATTCAAACCACCCAACTCTAGGTTGGCAGTGCAACTCCTTACCCACTAGACAATGAGGGCTTCTTAAATTGATGGCAGAGTGGGTTTTTGTGATTTACTAGTGTGTTTTCAAATATATGTTAATATTGGTACCTGGGTTGTAGTGGAGGAAAGTAGAACTTGTTTCTATCTTTGATCTTTAGCATCCTGGTTCTCTCTGCTGTTATTGGGTGCATGACTCCAGTGTTGCCTGGATGTGCCAGAATACAGATGTCTACATCATCACTATAGCAACTCCTCACAAAATTAGAAAAGGTGACACCTGAAGTTAAAAAAAAATACATAGTGGTATAAACACAGTATCTACTGTAACAATCAACTACAGATACAGATAAAACAACTGGAAAATCTGATAACAATTTACATACATGATTTGTATAAATTACCCAAGATCATTCAGGAGGCTACATAAATTTTCAGAATAGCTGAAATTCATTAAGATATAGGCACTATGCAAAACAGAAGAGTATTCTAAGAAAAAAATGGAAGTCTTAATGATGGTTCTTCTTTATCAAAGGCTTGATAAAAATGAATTACATTTATTAAAAAAACTAACTGCCAGGCAGAATAAGTATAAGAGGGGTGATTTTAATACTACAAAAGAGACCTGTTGGAAGATAAACTATGCAAGCTATAGGACAACTTTCATCTTAACCTTAGGCCTCTCACCATTACTAACCTGCTTTATACTAGGAACCATTTCCAATGCTCTTTCCTTAAGTGTATAATAAAAATAATAACATCTAAAAGAAATAGTGCAGAAATAAAATTAAATAACTGTAGGATAAATTATGAACACAGCATTGGAACAGATGAAGGAAAGAACTGTTTAAAAGGAATATGTAGTTAGGTATTGTTTGTATGGCAACAGCCTAGAATAAGAGGTGCATAGCAAAGTGGACTGAAGAAAGGGGCAGGGGAGGAAATTATGTAACAATGAATGAATATGTGTGTGTGTGTGTGTGTGTGTGTGTGTGTGTGTGTGTATTTTAAAGTGAACTGTGGATGTAGGGAGGAAAATGTGCAACAGTGAATGAATGAAAATCCAACTTTTCTGTTAAATTACATTAAAATAATAAAAAAATTAAGAACCTTAAAATTTTAAAAAGTCTTTAAAATGTGTAAGGCAGTGACTTTCTTGGGAATCACTTAGTCTTGCTAAACAACCATTTTGGTTATCAATGACCAATCAAGTAGATTGTTAACTGACTAGCAAACACTAGACCATACTATACCCTTTTGTTTATATAATCTTAGCATGCCAGTGAAGACTCTACACACAAATGCACATAACAAATTTCTTGAATAAACCCAAACATCCTACCTTGAAGTTTCATGATTCCTGAAACGGAATGACTGTTCTTCACTCTGTGCCATGGTTCTTGAGGCCATTGGTTTGGTTCTGAGGTGAATGCAGGCCACAGAATGCCAACTCGACCCCTTCTTGGATTGGAAGGAGCGCGATCTGTAGATGTCAAATTGGCTGAGCGCGGCCTTATTTTGTCCTGGATGCAGTCAAAAGAGGAGCTCGTGGCCACAATGACCGAATTCCTAAGCACAATCTGTACACTTTCAATGGAGCTCTGTGAAGCAGACACATGCACTACTGGCAGAAGACCCACAGTATTGTCTACCAGAGTGAGGTTCTCTAGGTCCACACTATTTTCAACATGTAGCATAGCACCATAATCAAAGTTCTTGAAAGCCAGGAAGCCAGAAACTCTTGTACATTTGTCCGTTCCCGTTTCCTGGTAGAGATGGAGCCCATGAAGGCTTGAATGAGCCACATTGTCAGACCACAGAGCTTCAGGGAGGGAACAGGCATACCCACGGATGTGAAAGCCAAGCCTCTCAGAACCTGCCACAACGTTACTGTGGATGTTGATGTCCTCTGCCTTGTTCACTTTGATTCCTGACACCCACTCAGTGGACCACGCTGGCTGTGTTGTCAGAATCACAAGGTTACTAATAAGAGAAAAAGCCTGACCCTCCAAATCAAGGCCATGACCAGGTGTACCAAATATAATATTATCCTTCAAAATGAGGCCATTGCTGTCAGCTGCGCGAATTCCTCCACCACAACTTGCGTGCACTGTAGATGATATGATCCTGGAGCCCTCTGATGTGTTAGTGAGTTCAATGGATGAATATTGTGGTGAGCCAAAGTTTTGAATTTCCACATTTAAAAGCTGAAGGACTCCTGCAAACAAAATGCATGTCATCAGGCACCTTCTTCCTTTCCATTTGAACAGACTGAAGGATGATTCATTTATGAACATCAAAACAAGTATAGATTTTTAGTTAAATTAACAGGTGGGTTATTTTCTTTTTCTCAGCACCAGCACTGTATATTATGCTATTTCATTTCAATGACAACCTATAGATCATTAGAAGTATCACATTAATACCTGAAAAGTTGTCATGGGTAAAATGAAAAGTCTGACTGCAGGATTGGGATAGATGACAGGATAGATGGAAACAAGAGATAGGCTTTGAAGATGTGCACAGTTCGCTTAAGAGTCATGCATTTGTCTGCAGGGCCAGATCTAGGAATTGAGTAAGAATGAAAATTCATTTTTCTCATCCATTAAAAATTGAAAAGGCTATCCAATTGAAGTTTCACTTTCACTGTTTTGGTAAAAGGATTTCAAGCTCAAAGGTAGTCTAACCCAAATCCTCTACTTTTCCAGGCCTTTTTCATATTTGAGAAACTAGAATCCTTGCAAATCTTAGCTGCTATTAGAACCTTATGAGAAGAGCAGAGGAAGTGGAAGATCATGCAATTCTCTTCGTGGCCAGATTGTGAAACTAAATTTCTCTACTGACACTAATTGTTGATGTATTACCAGAGGGTGTAGAAATATTTATTGACTGGTAAATCCCAAAGTTATTTGTCTGGCAATAACATTTCTAAACATAATTCAAGTGTCCCTCATAAATGACAAATTACTAAAAAGGCTGTCTAAATTGTATCTATGGTATTTTGGTACGCAAGAGACCTAATATATATGTAAACCTACACATAATTAGCTTATTTTCCAGAATGGCAGGTGTTTTATGATTTATATTAACATTATTATAATTAGGGACTTCTCATGTTGCATGCTTGGGAGGGCAGAGGGACAGCATAGGAGAGGAAGACCTTGGATGAGATGGATTGACTCAGTGGCTGGGGAAATGGGGGAGTGTCAGAGATGTTGGTCTGCACAGTATAGAGCATGGTCCAGAGCTGTTTTACATGGGGTCACTATGAGTCACAAGTGACTAGACAGCACTTAACAACAATCCATAGAACTTCATCTCACATACTTTGGGCATATTGCTAGGCAAGGCTATTCCTTGGAAAGGGACATTATACTTGGAAAGGTGAAAGGATAGAAAAGGAGAGGAAGCCCCTCAACCAGGTGGACTGACACAGTGACTTCAGAAATGAGCTCAAGTGTGTCAGAGACTGTTAGGATGGCACAGAATAGGGCAGGGTGCAAATCTGTTTTCATAGGGTCTCTATAAGTCATACTTGAATCAATGGCACCAAACATTTAAAAAAAAATCCATAGTTCCATGGTGGAACACACGAAGGTTAAACCAGAGAAGGCTCGGAATTTCCAAATGTTCAGTCATGCTTATACAAAATGCTTAACTGTGCTTATACAAAACCTAGACCAAGAAGGTGTTGTCTAAACAGTGCAAGGGAACACTGCATAGTTTAAAATTGGAAAAGGTGTCCACCAGGACTGGATCCACTCTCCATACCTATTCAATCTGTATGATGAGAAAATCATTCAAGACGCTGAACTTTATGAAGAAGAGTGTGGCATCAGGATTGGAGGTAGGCTCATCAAGAACCTGTATTATGCAGATGGCACAACTTTGCTTTCTGAAAGTAAGGAGGACCTGAAGTGCTTGCTGGAGATTGTCAAGGACAGTAGCTTTCAAAATGGATAACATCTCAACATCAAGAAGACAAAAATTCTCACTGTTGAATCATTGGGTAACATCATAATAGGAGAAGAGATGTCCTCTTGTATAGATCCCGCCAACATCCTTGGTACTAGCATAGCAGCTGGGAGAACAAGAGACATAAAGCTTTGGAAAAGTCTGCTGTCAGGGATCTCAAAGTCCTGAAGAGCAATGATGCAAGTTTAAAGGCTAAAATTTCCGTGATTCAAACGACAGTCTTTCCAATCATTTGCTATGTGTCTTGAGAACTGGAAAATTAATTAAGAATGATGGAAGTTCATCAGGTTTCTAAGTCAATAAACATGTATAGGAGGAGAACTAAAAAGAATGATGGAAGAATTGATGCATGTGACTTATGATGTTAGAGAAGAGTGCTGAATATCCCATGGACTGCCAAAAGAACAAAGCAGATTATGTCTTAGAGAAAGTGCAGCCAGAGTGCTCCTTGGAGGCAAAGATAGTGAAGATACATCTCACATATTTTGGACAAGTTTTTAGGAGAGGTTATTCCTTGGAAAGGGACTGTATGTTGGAAAGGTGAGAAGATGACGCTCAGTAAGATGGACTGATATAGTATCTATGGCAATGGATTTAAATGTTTCAAGGATGGTACAGGATAGGACAGAATTCATCTATTGTTTAAACGGTCACCAAAAAAAAATCATACTCAACTAAATGGCACTTAACAATAACAACCACAATCTACTGTTCTAAATCCTACAGAATATTTGTCAATCAATGATTGAAAATTAATCCTCAAGTCTAATTGAAGAATTAAGCAATAATTACATTTTAATTCTTCTTTCTCCTTATGAAATTCACAATGCAGAAAACATTTTTAGAAAGGTTAGCACAATTTCTGGATGTACCTATTCAGAGAAGGAAAATGAGATTAAGCCCATTGAGATTAGGCCAGTAATGTTAAGTTCTGTCTTGCTTTTCTGACCTATCCAACACCCTTGAACTATATCTGAAGATCTAACATCCTGAAGACTATGCAGTATGTTATAGTTTAAAACATAAGGGTTACAAATGCAGTGTGGGAAGATGAATTTGATCCTGGAACATAAATAGAACATTGTTAGAAAAACTGATAAAATATAGACAAGTATTATTATGATGCTGATGATATATTGTTCCAAAAGTGAACATTTTAGAAGTCAATGACTTTGGCATCAGTTCTGAGTTTAGAGCTTATCACTGCCTCTTAGTAGGTTTATAATGTTTCCTTTGCTTCAATGATTTGACCCATTCAAATACATGATGGTTTCTGTTGTTCCATGTTGCCGAGTTAGAACTGACTCATAACTGACACGTTCAGTGGCTTTTCAGAGGCTGTAAATCCCACAGAGGAGATTGCTCATATTTCTTCCATAAAGCAGTGATCGATTTGAACTGCATGCCTTTGGCTTGACAGTGCAACTCTATAACTGCTTGACCATCGTTGTTGTTGCGTTGTGTACCATCAACTAGGAATCACCCCACAGCTGACCCTCTCATTGGGTTTTCAGAGGCAGTAAATCACATGGGAGGAGACTGCCCATCCATCTCCCACAGAGCAGCAGGTGAATTTGAAACACATGACTTCAGGATTGCAGTGCAGCTTCTTGCCACTAGGCCACCAGTGCTCCCTTCTAGGCCACTTGTTGTTGTTGTTCTTAGGTGCTATCAAATACGACTCAGTGATCTTAAGAACAAAAGATTTGAACCCTGTTCTATCCTGTGTATCCTCACACTTCCTGACACACAAGAGACCGTTGCTGCAGTCACTGTTTCAATCCACCTGGTTGAGTGTCTTTCTCTCCTTCACTGACCCTCTATCCTTCCCAACATCATGTCCCTTTCCAAAGAATAGCACCTCCCAGCAACATGTTTAAAGCATGTGAGGTGAAGCCTCATCATTCTTTCCTCCAAAGAGCACTCTGGCTGCACCCTCTCCAAAATATACCTATTTATTCTCTTGGCTGTCCATGGGATGTTCAGTGCTCTTCTCCAACACCACAGCCCAAAGGCATGAATTCTTTTCCTGTCATCCTTACTCATTATCCAGCTCTCAGATGCATGGCAAGTAATCAGAAAGACTATGGCTTGAATCAGATGCACCTTAGTCTTCAAATTGACATCATTACTCCTCAATAATTTGGAAAGATTCCTAACTGCAGATTTCCCCAATGCAATATGTCTACTCATTTCCTAACTGCTGGTCGAAGGGTGTTAATTGTGATTCAAAGCTAGATGAAGCTATTGACAGTTTCAATCTCCATCCACCGTGATGCTGCCTATCGGTCCAGTGATAAGAATCTTTACTTTCCTGATATTGAGATACAATCTATATGGAAGACTGCATTCTTTAATCTTCTGCAACAAGTGTTTCAAGCCTTCTCACTTTCAGCAAGCAAGGTTGTGTCACATGCATAACACAGGTTATTGATGAGTTTCCCTCTTGATGCCACACTCCCCCTCATAGAGTCCAGCATCTCGGATAATTTGCTCAGCATACACAGTGAATAGATATGGTGAGAGACTACAACCCTGCCGTACTCCCTTCCCAATTCCAACCCATGCAGTCCTCCCCTGGCTCCATTCACACAACAGCCTCCTGGTCCAGTCTAGGCCACAAGACCTCCAAATACACTGAGCTCCTAATAATGAGTGGGTACAGTGTTGAAAAATGGGTGAAAACCTCAAGCCTACCCTCAAAAAGCTTATATATCACAAACAATTATATCAATAAACTAGTGATTGTGTTACACGTCCAATTTATTGTCTATAAAACTGAGAATCACAAATGTATCTCTCACAGGAACATTGATCAAAGATTAAGTAAGATAGTAAATGTGAAAGTTTGCACCATTCCTGGTCCATAGGAAGTAATCAGTGATGTTTCTACTTCTCTTCTGCAATGCTTTAAGATACTCTGGACAAGCAGTATTAGAACTTGAGGTTCAAGTCAGTGCAGCATTTGGCTCAGTTCTGGCTGGATAAACAGCTCTCTGAATGGGATTCCTTCTTATTCCCCAAACCAGACTCTAGCTCACTTTGCAATTTCAAGTACTTGGGAGCCTATCTTTTCTCCTCTCCCTAATTTCTTTGCTTTATAAAATGTAAGATGCTAAAAACAAGGATGAAGCTTTAGCCTCAGTCTACACTATTGTTGCAGTGCAGAGGTAACTTGTGGTTGCTGTGATGCTAAACACTGTGATACTGATGTGCCAAATGTGATAATGGTTATCCATGGTGGACAGTGTTTGGTGGAGCTTTCTGGTTAAAACAAGCTTGGAAGGAGGAGTGGCATCCATTTCCGAAATGGCTTGCCTCCAGAAACTCTATGAACAGTGCTCAGGGCTTTCATTTATAGGGCTGCTATGAGTCGTCTACGACTTGACGGCACCTACCAACAACAACAACACTATAGAGAGGCCACTTGTAGAGGTAATCCTGTGCAATACAGGATGTTAAGGAGCATCCCTCAATTGTACCTGCATTAGATTGATACCTGAAGCAATCCTCAATTGCAACAAAGAACATTTGCAGACACTGCCAGATACCATCTACAGGTAAAACTACCATTGCTGAGAACTTATGGAAGTAGAAGTTATTGAGGAAGAGTTCCATGGATTGGAAATTCTGAACTTCTGATTTAATACTAATTAATGCACTCTCCTTTACCAACCTGGAGAAACAGACACATAATAAAAAGTGCTTCATGTTCAATATATTTAGGAATGTGTTGGATCCTTTATTCCAGGCATTTTCAGAGGCTTCATTATCTTCATGTTCATAATGAGTGTCTACAATGGAGCTTGGATACAAAGTCGTCCCTGGACTTAAATATGATCTGGAAACAACTTTGAAATAATATTTATGAAATATAAGTTTAAGATACAAGGTCCTAATCAAATATTTTTATGCCATTTTGAAAGTGCTAAATCTGGAAAGAAATAATAGAGATGGAATTGATCCTTAAAGCAGTCTAGAATAAGGAAATAACTTTTATTTAAATTTATGCTATTAATTTATAGCATAAGCTAATGTCTACCATCAGATAGAGCATGCTACTGGGGAAAAGTAATAGAAATTCAAGAAAGAAATAAAATTGAAGTGGTCATTAAATCATCTATAATTTCAAAGCAGAGGAAATTTCACATCTGCTGAAAATGTTTTCTTGGAGGTAAAAATGTGCATATGTGCTGATCTACTAGTATATTATTTTAACAGCACACTGATAATTAAGCACAGATTAGGACTAAAAATGCATAGCTTCTCAGTGCCCAAAGGAGCCATCTATTTCAGACATTTTTATTTTACAATTGAAAAGTCCCATATTTGTGCCTTTTGACTGACCTAGATGTACAGGCTCCAATTGGTAAAGCTGAGTAAATGAAAACTGTGTTTACCTGAAAATTCTTCACTGTTGGGTTTTCTTAAGGGCCCAACATGTACTCTCCCCCTGCATGACGTATCAGACCGAATTTGGATATTTCGAGTCAACAATCCAATCTCAGCAGCCAAACTCACATATTGGCCATCTTCTGTGACATGGACACTTCCTGGGAAGGAAAAAAAAACACAAAATGTTACAAACTATTTCAGAAACCACCAGCCAGGGACCCAGTGAACTTGATAAATGAAAACATTCTCTCCCTTCGGAAGCCCTACCAACATTAAGGTCTGCTTCTCCTCAGGCATTCTCCACAAATGTCAGCTGAGAAATGAAAAGCCTGTTCACATTTCCTTCTTTGGGATCAGAGTAAGAGTGTGTGAGGAAGAATTCATTTCTTTGCAATAACTGTGGGTCCTGGGACATGCCATTGCCACAGGAAGTCAGGGCAGAACTGGCCAATTAGCAGGGTCCCCAAACTCCCTTCTTAAATGCAACAGTGTGCAGTGCTTGGATCTGCATTGTTCCCAGACCTCTTTCACGGGAATGAAGACTCTTCAACCAAGTAAGAGTAGTGATGGCAGCAGTGAGTAAGAAGAAAGGAATAGAGTGAAGCAGTGCCAAGCAACAGTAGTCACAACAGCATCCTCTGAGGTGATCTTAGCGCCCCCCCCTCCCTGAGACAGCTGAACAGCTTCCGTAAAAGAAAGAACTGAAGGGTCTCCTGTTTTGTTTCCTTGTCTTGTTTTCACTTCTTCATGGATCTCACCAGCAAAGATTGCTGATGATTTGTCTTGTCTTGGCCACACTTTAAGGAATCAAATTATTCTTGGAGTTATGATGTAGAGAAAGGTTTAGAGAAAGGTTTTCAATATCTCATATTGAAAACATACATTGTCGTACTCTTGTACCCAAACATCACTGCTTGTTGGTTATATTTCCTTTGTCAGATTTAGGCTTATAAGAAAGCTTAGAGTTACTTATATGCGTTTGCAATACATATTAAACTGTATATCACACTCCCTCACTCCTTTCTTTCTAGTCAGATCAAACTCATAGCTGACCCTTCATTAGATTTCTAATTGCATGAGAGGAGCTTGTTCATGTTTCTTACAAGAAGCCACTAATGGAGCTGAGCTGCCAGAAAGGCTCAGCTTTTGGGTTAGCAGCATAACTCCCTACTGACGATGTCACTATTGTTGTTAGATGTCATTGAGTTAATTGCAACTCATAGCCACCTACAAACAATAGATCTGAACTTTATCCTATTGTGTACTCACTTGTTCTTGTTGTTAGGTGAACAACAGATCTGAACCCTAGATGTGAAGTCTGTCCTATCCTGTGTCATCCTTACCCTCTCTGACACACTTAAGCCCATTGCTGCAGTCACTGTGTCAACTGACCTCATCAAAGGTTTTCTTCTCTTTTTCTCTCTACCTTTCCAAGTATGATATCCCTTTCTAAGGAATAGCCTCTCCAGCGATATACCTCAAAAATGCGAGACAAAGTTTACCATCCTTAGTTCTAAGGAGAGTGTTGCCTGTATTTTTTCCAAGACATCTCTTTGTTTTTTCAGCAATCCATGGTACATTCAATACTCTTCTCCAGCACCACTGCTCAAAGTGCAATTCTTTTACTGTCATTCTTATTTATTGTTCGGCTCTGAGATGCATAACAAATGATTGAGACAGTCATGCCCTTAATCAGGTGCCCTTTAGTGTTCAAGCTGACATCATTGTCCCTCAGGAATTTGGAGAGATCCCTGACTGCAGACTTGCTCTAATATCCTGATCAATACATCTCCTGATCACCTGATTGCTTGTACCATGGGTGTTGATGTTGGATCCAAATTAGGTGAAATTGTGGACAATTTCAACCTTTTCTCCATTAATCAAGATGTTGTCTTCTAGTGAAGTCATAAGCATTTTTGTCTTAATGTTCAGATGCAATCCATATTGAAGGCTGTAATTTTCAATCCTCTGAAGTAAGTGCTTCAAATCCTCACATCCAGCAAGCAAGTTGTCAACCATATAGCACAAGTTGTTGATGAGTCTTCCTCTTATCCTGATGCCAAATTCTTCTTCATAGAGTTTGACTTCTTAAATAACTTTCTCAGTGTACACACTGAATAGATATGGAGAAAGGATACAACCCTGCCACCCACTTCCTGTTTTATCCACTGTTACTTTTGTTGTTGTTATGTACCATCAAGTTGAAATCAACCCATAACTGACCCTTTAGTGGTTTTTCAGAGGCAATTCATCCCACAGGAGAAGATTGCCCATCCTCCCACGGAGCAGTTGGTGGCCCTTGGAACCACAATGTACCTTCTAGGCCACCAGAGCTCCCTAGTTGTTGTTGTTGTTATGTGCCATCGAGTCACTTAAAACTCATAGCGACCCTATAGACAACAGCCCTAAACTCTGCTCTGTCCTATGCCAATCTCATTGTCTCCGATACACCCATCCTGATTACCCCAGTCACTGAATCAATCCCAAAGAAGGGTGACCCAACAGAGGGTGGAACCCATAGAGCAATCTCATTGATTTCACATGCAAGCAAAATTCTACTTAGATTATTCAAAAATGACTGGAAAAGCACATCAGCAGAGAACTGCCAGAAGTCCAGGCTGGATTTAGAAGGGGTCGGGGTACTAGGGATATTGTAGAGCTCCCTAGAGCTTCCTAAATTTCACATATTAAAGAAACTGAAACTCATTGTTGTCAAGTCAGAATCAACTCATAGCTGATCCTCCAGGAGATTTTCTGAGGCTTAAATTGCATGGGAGAAGGCTGCCCATCTTTCTTGTGCTAAGCAAGAAAGGTAGAATCAGACCATCAGAGAGGTGCCACCTTTAGGTTATCAGCATAATTCCCTACAAATGAGGCCACCAGGATGCCCTTAAACTATGCATAGTGTAAAAATATGTAGTATTTTTTTTTAAAAAAAAACCATTTAGTTGTTTTGTTTTTTTAAATCATTGTACTAATAGTTGTTGATACATAAAACATCTTTCATTTCAGGAGGAATACATGCCTAAGTATGGAAAATGAAGCCATTATTTAAAGTACCTATCCCATTCTAAATGATTGCTTGAATCAATGTGACAGGAAATGAAATGGAAATTTAGTCCCCATGAGCTTGTTCTAACTTAGCCATGCAACTATGCAGTGACCTTGAACAAGATTCCCAACCTTTCTGCTCAAGTCTTACCATTATAAATAAAAAGGGAGGGGAAAAAATTCTCACCTGCTTTCAACAGCAGGCAATAAAACTAATGAAGGAATAGAGATAAAGCCTCCTAGCATGAGTGTAGGGAAGCAGAGAGGCAACATTCATCTCCTCTGAATGACAATCAGATCTGAGGTCTCTAGTCAGGTCACTGAACTCGATCTTCGTGGCTCACTCACTTCTCATAACCAACAAACCAAAGCCTTACCGATATGGCGGTATTGGAGACGCTCCTGGATTCTAACTTGGTGGCCTGTGACTTCTGTTATAGTGAGTACTTCTGCTTCATGAGGTTCATATGAAGAGGAACTAAGGATGATTTTGTCATGGGGTTGCCAGTCCACTGTATCCTCAACAGTGATTCTGTAACAGCATAAAAATGGCATCAAATCTGCTAATAATACAACATACATCATAACCCCATGAGAGGAATGGACATTCACTACCTACTTCTCAGCAGTTTCTAATATACACATATATATACATACATATATACATATGTATGTGTGTGTATATACATATATATGTATATATTCCCAATGTATACATATACCTGCATCCTTATACACATATATACATATGTACGTGTGTGTGTGTGTGCGCGCACGCATGTGTGTAGTTGTGGTGCTAGAGAAGAGTCTTGAACATACCATGGACTGCCAAGAAAACAAATTGGTCTGTCCTAGAGAGGGTGAAACCAAGTTTCTCCTTTGAGGTTTGGATGTTAAAGCTCCGTCTCACATACTTTGGGCATGTGGCCAGGAGAAACTGGTCCCTGGAGAAGGGCATCATCCTCGGAAGGGTGGAGGGACAGGACAGAAAGAGCCTGGATGAGATGGATTGATAACAGTAACTGGGGCAATAGGGGCTGTTGTGTCAGAATTACTGAGACTGGCTCAGGACAGGGCAGGGTTCAGAGCTGCTGTACATAGGGTCCCTGTACATCACAGGCAATTCAACAGCACATAACAACAAAAACATACTATATTGGTTGTTTTTCATTTAAGTCTTTTGTTTAGTGTCAACTAGACCTAGGGGAGGGTCTTTGTATTTATAAGTTTGTTGTTATTATTATATTTTGGAGGAACATTCTTCTAAGTGGTACAGCACTTTTCTGTCAATATGCTGTACTGAGGTAACCTGGGGTTGCTGTGATACTGAACCTTGTACCACTGAGGAGTCAAATGCTATAATGATTACCTATGGTGGACAGTGTTTGGTGGAGCTCCCACTTTAAGACAGGTCTGGGAGCAGGAGTGGCATCCACTTCCTAAACAACATGCCTCTGGAAACTCTATGAACTTTGAGAAATGATAGTTATAGAAAGGCTTCTGGCCTTTTGTTCATAGTGTTTCTATGAGTCATGCTCAACTCGATGACAATCAACAACAACACATATATAAAGGAAAAAGAAAAAACCCAACAAAACACCTTGACCTCATTGCTGTGGAGACAGAACTGACTCATCGCTGATACTTCAGCAGGTTTTCCAAGGCTATAAATGGCATGAGAGAAGATTGCCCTTGTTTCTCCCGCCCAGCCACTGGTGAACTGAATGAGCAGAGAGTTTCCATTTTCAGCCATGCAACTCCTTAAAAGACAGCCCATAGGAATGGCAATGGACAAGAACGAGTGAAGTGTCCTGGGTTGAATAAAGAATGTGTACCATATATTCATTATTTCCTAGAACAGCAAGCTTTCTCTTTTGTTGATAAGTCACATGAATAATAAATATATTTCAGGAGTCTTTTCCCAAGCTTTCTGAAGATATATAATGCCTTTAAAAAAAAACAAAACAAACAAACAAAAAAACCAACCAATTTATCACCATGGTTTAATACTTTGAGGATTGGCCAGACCCTACAGATCAAACTCATGATCCAGTTTTCCATCTAGAGATGCCACTTGATAGCTTGGTGACTGTGGGAAGTCACTGAATAAATAGGTGCTTCATATCCTCATCTGAAAATTGACAAAAGTGAAACCTTTACTTCAACCTCCAAGCGTTATCCCTGGGAATAAAGGGTATGTGTTCCTAGAGTGTGCTGTGTCCCAAGTCTTGTGCTCTCATCACATTATGAAACAATGAGGACTTTGTTGATTTGGTTTTTAAAATTCTTTTTTTAAACTCCAATTTAACATTTATGTTCAGTCTTTCACTGCCGCCTAGCTTTTCCTAGAGAATCTGACTACTTTACTCTTAATTCACTGTCATTTTTCATGTTCACTGTAGAAGCTTGTGTTAATTGCCTATTTCTTTAACTAATGCTCAAATTTTATCGAGATCTGACAGCAAATTCTCTCTACCAGTAAATGACTGCTTGTGTAACAGTGTGTGTGTGTGAGAGAGAGAGAGAGAATAATACTATTTGTACAACTGTAGGCATATTTTGACTAGGAAAGGGGGATACACCAAGTACCATAGTAGATACTAAAAGCAAAACGGCGACAAGAAGAAGAGAAACCACTTTTAAATTCCATGTGCATTTTTAAATTACAACTTAGATATTGGTTAGTTGTTGTTGTGGTTGTTGTTGTTGTTATGTGCCTTTGAATCACCTATCGCTCATAGTGACCCTATGTGCAATAGCTCTGAAGCATTCTCTATCCTGAGCCAGTTTCACTGACTCTGACACACTTACTCTAGTCACTGTATTATTCCATCTTATCCAGATTCTTCCTCTCCTGAGCTGACCCTCCACTCTTCTAGGCATGATATACTTCTCCAAGCACTGGCTCCTCCTGGCAACATGCCCAAAGTATGTGAGACAGAGCTTCAAAATCCTAGCCTCCAAGGAGAAACTGAATTTTACCCTCTCTAAGACAGATATGTTTGTTCACTTGGTTGTCCATGGTATGTTCAAAAGTTGTCTCCAGCACCACAACTCAAAGGCATCAATTTTTCTTCTGTTATCCTTAGTTATTATTCAGTTTTCTGATGCATAGCAAGTAACTGTAAAAAAAACATGGCTTGGATCAGGAGCACCTTAGTCTCTAAAATGACACTGTTGCTTTCCAGTATTCTGGAGAGGTCCCTGACAGCAGCTTTTCTCAGTACAATTCATCTTTTGATTTCGAGTGCTGGTGCCAAGAGTGTTGATTATGGAGCTGAGCAAGCTTAATTGTTAAAAACCTCAGTGAGAATCTTTGTATTCTTAATGTTGAGCTTCAATCCACAATGAAGACTACAGTGCTTGACCTTCTGCAGCAAGTGCTTCATGTCTGCTTCAGTTTCAGCAGGCAAAGTTGTCTCATTTACATATTCCAGGTTGTTAATAAGTCTTCCTCCAATCCTGACGCCACATTCCTCCTTATAAAGCCCAGCCTCCTCAATAATCTCTTCTAAATATAGACTGAAAATGTATGGAGACAGGACACATCCCTGATGAACTCTTTTCCTGATTTTAAACCATGCAGTGTTGCTTGCACTCTTCTGAGGACTGCTTACTAGTCCAAGTGGAGCACAATCAAGTGTTCTGGGATTTCCATTCTCCTCAAGGTTAGCCACAATTTATTATGATCCACAGTCAAATGCCTTAGCATAGCAGATGTGTTGTTGTTGTTGTTATGTGCCGTCGAGTCGCCTGCGACTCATAGCGACCCTATGTACAACAGCCCTAAACTCCACTCTGTCCTGTGCCAATCGCACTGATGTCTTTAAAGATGTCTTGGAGGCAGTGTTCATGGATGTTTACTATAAAGCATTAAAAACAAATGATATAAACAAAGGGATCCATCATAGGCCAACGATATGAATCTATCATGAATCAAATATTGTGATAAATTCAAATCTGAGGTTAAATAACCACAAAGAAAGAGATACAGAGAGAAAGAGGCCAAAATGAGAAGAAGGGTGTAATATAATAAGTGATGCAATTTAATGAAAGGATTCCACTTAAACTCTTTTCCTAATGTGTCAGGACATTCTAGTTAAAGAATAAAAAAGAGGAAATTAAGAAATAAAAGAATAAGATAACAGAACTCAAGCTGAGATGACTAACAGATGCCAGAGATTGAATGGAAATATTGGAAGACTCCTGATCATGTTTAGGGCTCTATCCATCAACCAGCATTACCTCACTTGTCTGATATCTTCCCCCCTCCCCTCCTGCTAACTGGTCCGAATAAGCTATATTTGCTAATTTCAAAATTGTATATGAATTTTAGAAATTATAAACCATCTATAATTCAAATCCCTCCTTGCTATCTAGTAGAAATCAGTCATGGTTTACCCTCAAGCAGGTTTCAAAGGCTACCAGTCTCATGGGAGGAGATTCCAAATTCTTCTTCTACATTCAAAATGCCAATGAGGTGCCACCTTTGGTTAGCCATGCAACTCCCTACAAACTATGCCACAGAGCTCCCATAACCCATATAATTGAACACTATGTAGCCATTGAAAAGTCATCCTTCTTCTGCCATCCTTATTCATTGTTCAGGTCTCAGATGCAAAGCAAGTGAGTGGAAAGACCATAGCCTGAATCAGATGCACCTTAGTCCTCAAACTAACATCATTACTCCTCAATAATTTGCAGAGGTCCCTAACTGCAGATTTTCCCAGTACAATGCATCTCCTGATTTTTCTGACTGGTGATAATTTTGGATCCGACTAAGATGAAGTTGTTGCCAGTTTCAATCTTTTCACTGTCAGTGTGACAGAAGAAGAATTAATGCCGTTGAGCTGTGGTGTTGGAGAAGAGTGCTGAGCAACCTCTGAATGTCCAAAAGAATAAAGACATGTGTCCTGGAGAATCTGCAGCCAGAGTAAGCTTTGGAGGCAAAGATAATGAGTCTTTGCCTAACATACTTTGAACATGTTGCTAGGTGGGGCTACTCCTTGGAGAGGGACATGATGCTTGGAAAGGTGAAGTGTTGGTGAAGGAGAGGAAGATCTTTGATCCGGTGGATTGACACCGGAGATTGACTGAAACAATGGGCTTTAGAGAATCAGAAAGTGAAAGGATGGTGTAGGATGGGGTAGGGTTCAGATCTGTTATAGGGTAGTTATGGTTGTACTCCATTTGACGGCACCTAAGAACAACAACAACATTGAAAAGCACATTGCCACAAAATATTGAATTATAAGGAAAACTGTTCATCCTGCACAGTGAAACTTCTGAGAACCTTAACTGAACAAAGATGCCTAATATTTCTGTTTCCCCACACATTTCCCTCCTTTTGAGCATACAGTCTTATCACTTCTTTATCACTCTCAATCACTGAAAAATATGAGTTTTCCTTCTCTGACAGGTTTCTGTCATATACAAGTTCTAGCTTTTGCAAATTTTACTGTATTTTAAAGAATATAAAAACTATGTCTCTTTCTTTTTAAATTACAAGAAGGCATATACAAAAAGCAGAAA